ACATGGTTTCCCAACATAGCTTCCAGTTTCTTTTCTGTAGTAGTTCTCTCAGTCACCCACTTCTTTTATTAAAGGCACCTAGTCTGTTCAGTTCCCATGTAGCTTTAAATTCCATTGGAAAACACGGTTGTCATGAGTAGACATAACTGTTCATGAGCATGATATGTGGGACAGGAACAATGTGATGGTTCACTGTGCTCAGAAAATGTATTTTTTCACTGAGAAATCACTGATGTTTATTCTTTTAAAGGAGAAGTTTGAGTTTTAATATTTGGCTCTAACTAAAACGTTTCAATCTGAGATTTTGCCACCTATTTTCATCTTCTGGGATGACAGCAGTTACTTATGACTGTAAAATCTTAAGAGAAATGTGCTTATTTTGACAATGTGACTGTGGTGGTTTGAATAAGAATGTCTCCCATAGGTTCATCAATCTTAATGGTCACCAGAGAGTGACACTCTTTGAAAGGATTAGGAGGTGTGGCCTTGTTAGAGGAAGTATGTCACTGGGGGTAGGCTTTGAGGTTTCACAATCCCATGCCAGAGTCAATGTCTCTCTCTTTCTTCTGCCTGCAGATCTTTATGTAGAACTCTCAGCTATTTCTCTAGCACCATGTCTGCCTGCATGTTGCCATGCTTTCTGCTGTAATAAATGGATTAAACCTCTCAAACTGTAAGCAAGCCCCAATTAAAGGCTTATTTTATGTGCACTGGTATTTTGCCTGCATATGTGTCTGTGGGAGAGTGCTGCATCCTCTGGAACTGGAGTTACAGACAGTTGTGAGCTGCTATGTGGGTGCTGAGAATTGAACTCTGGTCCTCTGAAAGAGCTCTTAACTGCTGAGTCATCTCCCCAGCCCCCTAAATGCTTATTTTATAAGAGTGACTTTAGTCATGGTATCTCTTCACTGCAATAGAACATTGACTAAGACAGTGGCTTATCAAACTATTCCAATTCCTTTAAGTTAGGCACTCAATCCATCAGATTCTTAAGGCACAGTTTATATCTTGGTAAAATGGTTGTGGAAAAGCTCAATGAATATAGAGGACTATAGAGCCCTAAAAATCTAGACCTCAGAAGGGATACAATAAACCTCTTAGCAAATTGCTTTCTTTCTTCTTGTAAAGATAAGAAAGAAATCATGGCAACTGGGGCTATGCTGAAGATTTAGACTCATAGAGAAGGCTTTTCATAAACTTAAAAAAAAAAAACCTATGTTACATATAAGCCAAACTCATTTATACTCTGTAAAACAACTCAGGTATCCAAGGTCAGCCAGCTTTGGCTTATTTTCTAACCTTGCTCCTTGAATTTAATGTGCATATGAATCATCAATGTTTAATAAGGCCACCTTTCTCAGAGGGAATATACCAATGAAATTCAAATATAATTATGTGTAAACTTCATCAAACTGTATTTTTGGCTTGAGGCTCTCATGGCACTCCTCCTCTGCAGAATTCATTTAATTCTCTAATTTCAGTTTGCATACAAATGTCCTATGGGGGTAACTCCTACTTATTAGCCCTTGTCTTTGGCTGAAACTACAAACTTCAAAAGAGCACCAATAATAACATAACAAGTTGTCTCAATCTCAAAACTGAATGTTTGTGTTCAAGTCTGAATCTGGGTCAACTTAGATTTCGGCAGAACGGGTTACCATCCTATCAAAATTTCTTAACTAAAGAAAGTAGAAATTTAAGGTATTCCTATTAAGTTGAATGAGACCTGAAGAAAAGTTACAGAAAAAGAATTCTGAAATCACACACACATGCACCATGAATCTTAAGACAATGGAGATTCAATAAAGTTTCTCATGGATTTTGTGAACCATTTCCTGAATCTCTTTCACTAACCAATTAGATTAAAAAATTTTTGAGTATTACACTGCCCTGTTTGGACTCCCTGGGCACCTGGGTTGTTGGATATTGACAAGCTCTGTGGTAGGTGACACATGTACTGGTGATGGTAGAGAGGAATGGTGGCAGCTAGGTGGGGCAGGCTGGACTTCAGCATCCAATTGCATACTAATTTTTAGCAGTACTTGTGTTTGGAAGAGAAAGTTAGAAGCTTTCCCTAGGGTTGGGGGTGGCCATTCATCATGGCAGCCTCATATGTCAGGAGCTCAGGATAGTGTCCTTCATAAAGCAGTTGTGCTCATAAACACAATATTATGACAAGATGACACTTGGTGTTCATTACATGATGACATTATGTTTCACATGAATTATTGAGTTTCCTCCATAGGTTGTAACTCTATAAAGTAGGACTACTTGGAATCTATGTTATACACGTGGAGATAGAGGTTTAAGTAGCTTATAGGTTACTCAGCTCATAAGTCATAAATAGTAGGAATTTGAATGTTGGTCTCAAAGCTCACGTACACAGAAATAAATACCAAAAACTGAGAAACAGAAACCTCAGATAAATACTTTACAAACAGTGAAATGATATAATAAATATTATGGTTAAAAGTATGTGTATATATAAGGGAGGGGGGAGAGAGATGCTTTCAAAAGTCTCCTTTTAAAATTAAACTTAAGTAATTGAGAGCTGGTGTGGTGTCAGCAGATAAAGGCTCCTGCTGCCAAGATGAATGGCCCAAGTTTGCTTACTGGGACCACTATCTACCCATCATGGAAGGATAGAACTCCCGTAAATTGTACTTTGATTGTATAATGTACTCTACATTGGAGCCCTGGCATTTCACACCTCCCTGTACCCAACAAAATACCAAAATACAATGTAATAAAAATAAAAATTAATTAATTGAATATCAGAACTTTTTTTCCTTTTCCTTTTTTTGTTTGTTTTTGTTTGTTTGTTTGTTTGTTTGTTTTTTGGTTTTTCGACACAGGGTTTCTCTGTGTAGCCCTGGCTGTCCTGGAACTCACTCTGTAGACCAGGCTGGCCTCAAACTCAGAAATCCGCCTGCCTCTGCCTCCCAAGTGCTGGGGTTAAAGGCGTGCACCACCACCGCCCAGCAGAACTATCTTTTTCTACTACTAGTCCAATTAGACATTTCAGCATGAACTCTTTCTCTCCACACCACCTGGGGTACATAGAGAATCAAAAGAGAGTAAACAGCAGTTTACAAAGAGCTCCTGAAATTGAGACTACCAAACCAAACAACAACTACACACACACACACACACACACACACACACACACACACCCTGTGATGTGTATACTATTAAAACACAAAAGCTACTTCTCAGGGAATAAAGCATAAAATTATAAAAAGAAGTTTGGACTCACTAATAAATGAGTAAATAAAACCACTTCATTTGACATGTATTCTTAGAAGAAAGTAATTGTTGATTACTTTCTTCTTTTTTTTACTTTTTTTAATTCTTTTTTTAAAGTAAATGTACCTTATTTTTTGACTTAAAACTGCTTCTAGAGTCTACCCTATTTACAGAAAGATGATCACTTACATGATTGTTTCTTATAGCAATAAATTGTGTGTAAAATATATTTTCATTGAGAAAGAAGTCTAGGTTAATATCTACAACTTGATTCTATTATTTTACATTTTCATATATGTATATAATGTGTTTTAATCAAATCTCCCTCCCAATCCCTTCCCCCAATTCTTTCCCTTTCCCCTTCCAACTTCATGTGTTCTCTTTTAAAACCCATTAAATTCATTTAATGTTATCTGAATATGCTTGGGTCTACAATCAACTCCTGCAGCATGGGTAGCCTTTCAGGGACTGCATCCTTGAAAATGGACTCTTCTGACTCTTGCAATCATTTATTGCAAAAAGCTCCACAGCTAGGGTGGGGTTTCACAAGCCCTTCCCCCATCCATGTTGGGGGAGTTGGCTGGCTGATTTTGAACAGGTCTTGAGCAGATAGTCACAGCCACTGGGAGTTCATGTATGTAGAGTGTGACACTGGAACAGTGTAGTGGGAGTGAAAAACAACCTCAGAAAATGTCCAGCAGATGTTTTACTGCAGATGTTTACTACTTCTGGCTCTTCAAATCTTTCCACCCTCTCCTCCTCAGTGATCCCTGAGCCTTGGGAGGAGTGGCTATGGTATAGATGGCCCATTTAAAGTTGAGCACACCACTGTCCCTTAGCCTTTGCATGCTGACCAGTTATAGGTCAAAAACTGATGAGTGGTGAGAGATGTGCCCATCTAAGTGGGTGTGCAGCCAGCCAGATAAGCAACTTAGTGAAAGACTCATACCAGACTGTCAAAATGGAGGAGAGAAAGAAATGGGCTGTGGGGTGGTAGTGGTGGTAATGGCTTTTTAAAAAATTTCTTAAGTTTTGATAATGTTACAATTTCATGAATGAAATTATTTCCAAAGATGGAGAAATTCTCTGCCTTAATAATTATCATAAATGTAAAGATATAAAAATCTTGGTGTGTGTATGTATGTATGTATGTATGTATGTATGTATGTATGTATGTGTGTTAGTTACTAGGATTGAATTCAAGCCTTGAGCCTGCTAGGCAAGCACCTTAACTCTGAGCTACATGCCCAATCCTTCTTGTCCTTGTTGGGTCCTGATTCTTCATGCATCTTTATGCTCCCTAAGCTCCCCCCCAGGAAGAAAGTTGATTAATGGTTGCTCTTTTCATAAATGACCTTTTCCTTCCCATATTTTTATTCTTTCAAATATTACATCCTTTCAGCAGTTTCTCCCCTCTCTTCCTCCAGTCTCTTTTCCCCACCCTCACTTCACCTCAGAAAATAGCATCTCTGTAAGGGACATTAACCAAACACTGCATACCAAGCTACAAAGAGACCAGGCACATACCATCATATCAAAGCTGGACAAAGCAACACAGTAGGAGGAAAAAGGTTCCACCTTGGGCAAAAGAGTCAGGTACAGCCCTGGCTCCCACTGTAAGGATTCCCATAAGAACACCAAGCTATTAATCCATAAGTATTGCAGAGGACCTATGTGTTTTGAACCTATTTGCTGATACCTTACTTGAAACAGGAGCCCACAAACTAAAATAAAATGGAAAGATTAGCTCTCACCTTCAATGATGTGCTTTCTAGACAATCCTCTTTCTGTTTCAGCTCTGCAACAAAACAGAGGTAGGTGACTTTGACTCTGGAATACTGTTATTTTCTAAAAATCATTTTGAAATGCAGAATAATAATCATTCTTTTTTAGTTTACACTGTGAAGTTTTTACCATATTTTCAGCAACTTCTGCATCACTGGCCACAAAAGAGAGAAAGCTGGTAGACAGTACTCCATGTGTAGATACCTGACAGATGTGGCCAGTACATTGATATTATTCAGCTCTAGGCTAAGCTACCAACCAGCCATTGTATAGACTTTCATTAGAGAACCCAATACACAGATGAATCTTTGAACCTTGTCTAGAGAAGGAAAACAATCTAGAGAAGAAAAAGATTCTAGGCATAAGAGGTTTACTCTATGGTGGCCAAACCACTGATAGTAAGTTTTTGCATGAGGCAAATTTGAAGGCAACTTTTGATGTTGAAAATAATTTAACAATGATTTAAAAAAAAAAGATGCAACAAACTTTTTTTAAACTAGCATCCAAGGGGAAAGGACAAGCCCTTGATGACAGAGCTTCTGTCATTCCAGAAAAACCCTGAAGTCTGGACAAGTAGAAAGGATGTGGTGGGTGAGTTGTGAAGTATGGATGAAGCTTTCCTTCAACATGAGTCCTTCAGACAGCTTCTCCTAAAAGCAAGTAATCCACCACTTCCCCTTTTAATGTATCTGTTCTGAGTCTTTTTCAAGTATCCCAGTCAGTATCATATGTAGCTCTGTTGCATAGTGGCTCCTGTAGCTGGTCTCATTTCTTCTTAATTCTTTGTACCCTCAAGGCAAGGTATCAGGTACCATTGCAAACATAGGGATCAAGGACACCATGAGTCAAATTACAGAAACCAGATACCTGCATTACTTATAGGTTCAGTATTATCTAAAAAGAGGACAATAGGATTAAAGATCTAAATTTCATCTTATGTCTTCATATCATTAGGAAGCTCAAGGATTGTAGCAGTATGGGCATGTGCATACATATGCATTGTGATTGGACTCTTCCTGAAGAACTAGCCTGGGCCTCCTATTTTAAAAGACAAACTGATGGTAACAACAACAACAACAAAAGAAATAGCAAACAAACTCTCACAAGCCCTCTGCATATACTCTCTATTTATTATAGGGTGGTAAATGAGGTTTTGCATGTTTCTGATTCATTATTATTGTGTTTGGTTTTTTTTTTATGGCCGTATCCATTTATTTACTCCTTCACTTTCATATCTGCTTATTTAGTGCACGCGTGGCCTGCACGCCTCGGTGAGCACGTGAAGGTCAGAGGACACTTTACAGGACTCAGTTGTCTCCCGTCTGGCTGGCCACAGGCCCAGGCAGTCTCCTGTGAGGTGCACATCCTCACACCACAGCTTCTTGTTCTTGCTCAGCCGGTTGTGACGCCAGATATTCTGTTTTTGAAGCAGTCGCCAGCTAGTACTCCCGGGACTCCGGTTCTAGCTCCTCTAGCTTTTTTGGGGGACCCAAGTTCACCTGAAAAGCCATACGGGGTACTTGGAGTTGGGCTTCAGGGCCACATCCTGGCCTTCCTTGTAGATGTTGACCCCCATGGCGTGCGTGGTGAGCTGAGTGGGGTCTGTGCACACCTCGGGGTCCTTCAGGGCCTCAGCAGCCACGCCGCCTTTGCCGCCCTTGCCGACTGGCTTCTTGGCATATTCCCGGATAAAGAATTCTCCAGGTCCCCCTGGGACCAGGAGCGCCCGAGGATGCCAGTGGGCCCACACTCAGGAAGCCCCAAGGAGACGGGCGGCCGCAATGACACTCGCCGGCTGCTTGCATGTCTCATTATTATTGTTAAGATCCCAATATCTCTGAGATTTCTCCAAGAAGCACTGGGCCAACAATTGCTCTAGTATAAGGACTAACTTGTTGTTTTCTTACATGTACTGTAAAAACAGCCAATTCCCTGATTCTTGTTGAATAATGTAAACAACCAGTTCAAGAATGACAGCCTGGTTCATAGAAGGCAGCTCTGCCTGTGGATTTGTTCTGCATCAAGCGACACACAGAGGCTGCTCTTTTATTGTCCTGCTGCTGAGTGACACTGGCATAGCTTCTGTTATTCCCCAATGAGATGGTCTTTTTGATCAGCTCTCTCAGAACCCTCTGCAAAAATGATCAGAGACTTGAACACCGAGGCAGACAAGGTATTTTTATCTTTGTGTTCTGTGGAAATCTTTGAGTTTTGGCAGATTCGAGGAGATTTTCTTTTGTGATGCTTTATTTTCTTTTCCTGAATTTTGAACTCTCTTTTGGAAATGGTTCTAAGTTAGACACTGACAAATTTACACGAATCATTTAGTAACAAGAGGCCACCTGCCATGTACTAAATTCCTTTGGGACTACTCTGCTAAAATGTAGTCCTATTTCTTTAGCATTAGAGGAAAAAACCCCATATGCCAATGAGTTTTAATGAGTTAACTGTGAATTGGTTGTTAACAAACAAACAAACAAACAAACAATAAAACAAACAAACAAACAAATAAAAAAACCAAAGGGAAAAAAGCAGGAATTGCTAGTCATTTCCTATCTCATAGAAAACAAAAGATGAAAGGTATTTAACTTACTTTCCACCCCAGTAGAGTTTGGTTGTGATGACCAAGCTGGACCTCCTGTATATCAAACAGACACAGAAAAATAGTGAATAATTTGTGGGCATTTGATGGACTGAATCATGTTATAATTATAGCATCAAAAGGATTTGTGACAGCACCTTACATTAAAAAGAAGACAGTGATGGAGTTCTAAATTCACAGTCCTGAAATGTAAGAACAAGGGAAACTGGAGAGTAGTGACTTAAAGTCAGACACTAGAAGGGGCTGAAGGGAACTAAGTTTTTCAGGAGACCCTGAAGGAGGAGGGCTGCCCAGCATGCTGGTAAATGGTGTTGCAATGTGTACTGAGTGGGAGGTGATCTTGGAGGTCAGAAATGGTGCCTGTGAGAACCAGAACGTAGGTGACTTACAGGCTGAGTTGCTTTGGTAGCTCGAGAGAGCAGCCGCTAATTAACACTTATTTAGAAGTTGGCATAATGTTGATTGCCTGTGAACCTTTCCTGGGAGGAAGCCTCCTCTCTGCCAAGGACCATGGGCCCGAGTGGCTCTGGGTTACAATCTTATGCAATCATCACATTCACAGGCAGTGAGAAGTGACTGCCTGCGTAGAAATATGAGTGATGAGATAAAGCCTCACAGTCAGTAAAGGTTTAAACCCTTTACCAAAGGTCTGATCATGTTCCCTTAAAGGAATAGAATGTGGAAATCATGTCAGCAAACTTGTTACCCTCTCAGAAGCCCCACTCAACAGCAGCAAGGGCAGCAAATGCAGCTTCTCATGTTGTGATCATGAAGAGCTGTCCTTTGAGAACTACAGGAATATTATTTAAACTTGTGAGGCAGAGAAAGCTCGGTACACTTCAGTTTAAAATTAAATCTTTTGAGATTCAAAATTCAGGATTATTTGAAATACCAGGCATGTATAATTCTATCCCCTGCAGAGGTGGCGAGACCTCAAAGCTATAGGGGCATACATTAACTATACAAGTATAGTTAATGATGGCCAGTGGAGAATGGTGGGTACAGTTCTGACAACTTGGTGGCCAAATGAAAAGTTTATTGAAAATGTTGGCAACCCCACCCTTCTAATTCCTGAAAAGCAATTTGAGTTACAGAAATGGAAGGTCCTGAGCATCTCCAAAAGGGCTGTGTACTTTTCAGATTAACGCATGAACTTTCTGCTGTCTATGGAGATAACAATCTGCACAGGAGAGCCAGGTCTCCTTTAGCAAGCATTTGTGTCTTCCAAAATACATTTGAAATAGTATAAAAGATGATCAGGAACCATTTTGATTATTTGGAGCAAATATTAGGCTAAAGCTGTACATTCTATCCAAACACTGAAGTTAGAGTCTGTCCAAAACTGTCTGCCCACGAAGGTGTGCACATTAGCATCTATGTGCAAGTAGCAAGCAACTGTTCTGGGTGGGGATTGACAATGTGAATATAGCACTGTAAGACAGAAATCTCCCAGTGCCTTCCCTTCCCTCTCACTTGCTCAGCATGGCACCTCAGCAGCCATTTTACACTTAGGGAAAACGAGGCTCAGGGAAATGAAATTACTTTCTCTGGTCAATGCAGCTACCAAGTGACAGCTCAAGGACCAGAAAACAAGCAAGTTAGTTGAAATGCTTTTATAAGCTCCGTGCCAGGATGGTGTGGTTTATCTTCTCACCAGTTTCCTCCTGGAGGCAAATGTGAACCATATAAACTTTTAATAGCACAGTAATAGCTTGAGCTGTTATTTGCTAGGCTGAAAGGTGGCTGGTGAAATATTCATAGTGTCTATTTTCCACAAAGTATGTATGATAGGTTCTGTAATGAAGGAGGATGGATCAATGCTTGCTGAGAAAAAAACCACTGTTTCTCCTTACTCAGGCATGGGGCAGCCTTCATCCAGCTGTTGGTCTTACTCTGTTGAGTTGCATGACAGCCTCAAAATGTCACACAACCCTCATTACCACTTGCTTTGGGGACAGAGTTGGAGGAAGAGATAGATGAGCACATTCCTTGAGGTTCTTGGATACTCACAAGGATAGCAGATACTTTTCTGAACATTCAGAAGTCAGAACTCCTGGCATCCAGGATAGATGTTGTCAACTGTATCCAGATGAGAAAGCTCTAGGCAATTATGCCACAGGCTTTTTGTTTCATCTTTGTACAGAGAGTTGTTAATAAAATGAGTGGTGAACATAAATCTACGTGTCTTGTAGCTTGCTTTCTTCACTAATTACAAGTACAGTTAAAGCTATGAAAATGTCATGTTCATTATGCACAAATAATCGCATGAACAGTCCCTTTTGCTCTGTTCAACACACTGTGATTCCCTGTAGTCAATGGCTATGTAAATTTTGAAGTACAAATAATGAACTCTCCGGCATTTATTTCCAAACCACCGTAGATTATTTCTTTACCTAGTGTTGATTATTTTTTTGGACAGCCTTTTGTACTAATACCATATGATTTTATTTTTTGCTTTTCTAGTACAAATCAGTAAGTCTTTAAAAGGCAAACTAGCAGTTATGGTAGACATGGTACCTCCAGCCTTTCTTCTTGATGATGCTCCCCAGAATCACCTCAGCCCTGAAAGGGGAAATAGACAATGTCTTAGGATGCAGTGTCTCAGAAAAGCAAGAGTCAACCCAACAGCAGAGCCATCCCATTTTTGAACTCTCATCTCAGTGCCTACAGATCCCCAAAATAGAAGCATGCTCAGCTGGTAGCACAGTCTCCACTGTTTCTGCTTGTGCCCGCAGAATTCTGCTCCCAGGCATCCCAGAAGCACCTGCCAAATGCTGGCACTGGCAGGAGACCGCCTGTGGTCCTGACATAAGAAACAGAGGAGTCATCTGGCAGCTTGGTCCCTCATAAAAATATCCTGCTTGGTGGTGTTCAATGAGAGTCAACACCACCTATTTCCATCTATTGTGCTGGAACAATTCAGTTGTGCCCAGAGGCTTCAGACTGTTTTAACAGAAAATACTGGTTTCCTAGTTGATCTTGGAAGAAAAGAAAGAATCTACATGTGTATTTAGATGTCTCCAAGTTCAAGGTTTTAGTTATAGTGGTCCATATGAGAATGTCCTAGGGACTGAGTAATGTTTGTCATATGACTAAGATATATAGAGACACTACAAAATACCTTTTCTGTTCCTAAGGCTGGGTTGTGGAAAGGTGCACTGAAGACATCCTAAGAGTATCCCCACTTCCACTTCCCCAGGCAGATTCACCAAGATTGAAGAGACTAAAATGTTCTCCTATAACCCTCCCAGTAAGATGCTAAGCATGAGAAGCAGTTGGGCTGCCAGAGATTGGAGTAGGGAAGTTAATGCAGTTAGCACTTTGTTCATCAGTGAGCCACATAAGGATGCTATTATTTGATATAAACCAAAGTTGTTTTTATTTAAAGGCATAACATCCAAGGAATCATGATGCAGGCTAGCTATGGTACATGCTCCAATTGGACAGACATGGGGTGGTCCTGGAATCTTTTTCATTGCTCCTTGTTTGGCTGTTGTTACATGTGACCTTAGATACTGGGAGCCTATCTCCACCATCAATGAATAATGATTCAAATGACATCCCTCACGGTAGGAGTTGCAATCACTATGTTCCCCTTCTCTGCTTTAGTCTGTTTGGGATTTAGCAAGATTCAACAGAGAAAAGCCTCTGAGAAGTGGGCATGTAGAACGGAGCAAGGCCATACAACTTCTACTTTCCTTCCTTGGATTCATTATAAACAACATGGATATGGATGCTCAAGTCCTCTGATGGCCTCCTTAAACATAAACAGGATTTTGAAAAGGAAGAAACAAAGTAAGAAAAAGCTCTGAGAGTATTTGGAGCTGACCGGGCAAGCCTCAGGTCTACTATAACTGTCCTAAGGAAGGGCAGCTGGCCTGCTGTTTGTACTCCACCATGGATATCTTCTTCCTTTGCTGATGGAAGCTGGACACCCACGTTCATTCCAGGAGACCAGGGCTCCATACTTATTCTAAAATACACTAGTTATGTTATGTGACATGGGCTTGGTGATCTGGACTGACAGAATAGCAGCTATGTGTTCTAACTTAGCAAGCCATATTTAGAGTGCCAAGTCAACACTCAGGTCCAAAGAAGTCTCTAGAAGTTCCTTGTCACTACCAGCAAGGTCTCTCTGGAGCCTAACGTCTTCAGAATAGGCTCTGAAGTACCCTCTTGATAAAGTTGTTGATTTCTTGGCATCATTTAGGAATCACAACTTTTATGAATACCAGCATAGGACTGAGGAAGAACATGGCTGCTGACCACATGTACAAGAAGAACAGCTCTTCCTTGCCAATGCCGCAGCAATGTCTCAGCACACCCTCTTGGTTCCACAGATGCCATGTGAGAGACAAAAACTGGTTCTGACTTACTTCCCAGCAGCATAGACTTCAGCAGTGTCGAAGAGATTAACTCCACTTTCGTAGGCAATTGTCATCAGTCGTTCAGCAACCTACAAGAGGAGGCAAGGGTCAGTCAGAAATGCCAGGCATCTTCCTAGCTGGGAAGCAATGTTAAATCTTTTATCTGCCTTTCACTCTGAGATTCCATTAACCACTTCTGTTTTTCTCAGCTGTAGTGAGTGACAAGAGAAAGAAAAAAGACTCAAGCATAAGACAGGTGATGCTTCCACCCCCAAACATAGGGTAGGCTGTAATCCCACTCCTGGGGGGTGTGTTTGGTTGCCCACTAGAGCACTGAGGGGCTCTGATCTGTGTTTCCCACCCTGCTGGGAAGACCTTGTTTGAGAACACCCTCAGTGACATCTAATCTTGCTGACAAAGAGGGTCATTTGTATCAAAGCTGACTCCATCTCTCAACCCCTTTCTGCAAGCCAATAGTTTCTGGCAGTTGGATGACTCCTGACCTAAAAGCTTGTGACTTTCCTCAAGGCCTAGCCAACTGTGCTGATGAATCACAGGCCAGACAATCATGACTGTTGTAAAGCTCCTGCCACCCACAGTTCAGTGGAACAATAAGCATCATCTTGGCGCTGCTGCTGAGTCAACACAGGGGAGGGAGCAAGCTCCTCTGTGCTCAGGCCCCATTGGATCAGAGCTCTGTGCTCCATCCTTTGTGCTGCTCAGTGCAAGTGAGAAGTGTGCCAGGAGAATAGAAGGCTACCTTCAACAGTCAGCCTGAGGTAGAGCTGTAGGAGGGTAGTGAACAAAGCAGTGGAGGAGTCTTTCTCGACTTTGCTGATTAATTTGCTAGATGTTTGAAAAAAATTTTCCACTTCACACATAATAACAATTGATTTTCCATTATGTTCTTTGATGGTGAACTAAAGTTGTTTCAGCAGCATTTCTAATATAGACTGTTTCTGGTGTTTTTGAAAATTAGCCTCTCAAGACCATGGGGCGGCTAGTGTGCATGTCCACTAGCATTACCCACGAGAAAGCAGTAACTACCTTTTAATATGATAATATTAAGATATTTTAAAGCAGAGTTGAACAGTAAGGCAAATATAATTTCCTTAATTTTGACTGTCCTGTTTTAGATGATGGTAAAAATTAGTGTTGTATGTCATAGCGCATATTGGTGGACTATTATTAGGAAATATAACAATCTTATCTACAGAGAAGTTTTGAACTGACAGTAGAAACCCTTCCCAATCATAGGATCTAAAGACCTCATGTGGAATAATGGGAAAAACATTGAATTAAGTGTAAAGACTTGTTTTAGGCCTTGATATAGTTTTTGATCTGAAATGCCTTATGAATCCCTTGCATTTGGTCCCTGGTCTGCAGCATTTTTTGGAGATGGCAGACTCCTTAGGAGGGGTGGCTTACTGGTAGGAAGGTAAGTCACTAGGCTTCTGGCTCTCTTCCCTTCTTGGGGCTCCCTGTCCTCTAGTTCACGCTCAGCTATGACATACTGGCTTACTACACACCAAAGTCAATAGAACCTAAAGAATATGGATTGAAAACCCTTTTTGTCTAAAAGTTGATTGCTTGAGGTCATTTGTCACAGTAATGGAATATGAACACAGCCCACGAATGTCCTCTTACTATTTAAATAAATAAATGTGGGCAAATCATTTGACCTTTTCAGTTTCCTTATCGGAAAACTGCAAGTGATCCTTTGAAGGGGTCCTCTTCTCCCTCATGGAGCCTGGAGGCATAATGGAAGTTGATCCCTCTTCCTCAACAAAGACCTAATGGCCTATGAGCCACTTGGCCAGGACAGGTTTTGTGAGAGACCTTTCTCTCACACTAATGAGATGCAACAGACATTTCTTGTAATACCTTTCCCTTCTTTATAGAATTTCTAGAAACAGAAGTTTTTCCCTGCTGTTTTTGACTCTTAAATATTGCTGCAGCTATTTCATTCTTGGTACTCAAAGAGGAAGTTGATGCAGAGGGTTGTAGGTTGTATAAAGCTGAGGGCATGGCTCTCCTAAATGTTGAACTGGATACTCTCTTCTTGGCTAAACTAATGTGAGGAGGGTTTCTGCTATTAAAGCTGCCTCAACTACATTACATTCCATGAGAATATATGGAATAAATCCCCCAGTCCTGTGCTTTTGGAGATAAATGTGCTTTTTATTACTTTTAAGAAGTTATTGCTTATTTGAAAAACATATCATGTTTTTGGTTTTTTACTTGAAGGACACATGTTCAAGTTACTAAGTTTGTTAATATCTCTGCTAAGTACCTATCCAATACATTGAAAATCTCCTGAAGTGCCATTGATAATCAGTATCCAGAATATTATGGCCGTTTTTACTTGATTTGAGTTGAGAGTACCTGGAAGTCTGAGAGAAAGCTGAAGGATCAGGAAGGTAAATTCAGAGTTACTGGCTTATGTTTCACCCCTAGAGAAGAGGTGGGATTGAGCCATTCAGTTGTGAGTGTGATTGGGTTTGGCTAGTCTTCCTTGTTCCTCTTTGTGGACAGCTCTATAGGAATCTTCCCCCAGCTGCTCTCCCGAAGGACAGTAGCTGTCAGCTGTGCATCTGTGTAAGTGCCTCTGCGGCCGTTCATGACAACTTGATTGTGCAATTTTGGGAACTGGAATTTTGAAATGGTTCATCACAGAGGTCAGTCCTGCATGCCCAGACATGGGTTCCCTACAGCAGAGAACAGACAGTATGACGGGTAGAGCAGAGACTTGGGGGGAAATAGAACTGCTCAAAAGGCTAGCCATCATTGCCCTTTTCCTTCTACACAGTGCATCAGGCAGTGGCAGGTTACACGCAGGCTAGAGACCCTGGCTGTCAACTTAGTTCCCTCCTATGCTTTGCTTACTTCATGGCTAACAGTGCCTGTGGCCTTTGCTATACTTCCTGTGAATGTGCCTTTGTGCTAACCCCATACATCCCCATCTGATGCCAGTCATAAAGTCTCTTGATGTGCACCTGGGTCCTCTTGTGGGGAGAAAGGACTTCCTTCCTTAGCTACTGGGAGCATGAATGTTGGAAGACCTTTTACTGCCAGCCCCTAAAACTATGCTTGGCTGGAGTCATCCAGCCAGTTATACAAGATCTGTTTCTAAACTAATGACTGGGTAGTACAGTTACACACACACACACACACACACACACACACACACACACATAAATAAAAATCCAAGAAAAAATGTTAGGAAGAGAAGACAATCACTACTGCACATTTTCTTCATTAGAATTTAGAAGCTAAAAGTAGCTTACCTCATCTGAAATTTGACCTCCGAATGTCACCCATGTTCCTAGAAGAGAGCAAATATTTGCATTATTTGCAGCCATTTTTCTAAGATAATAACAGCAGACTTTTGTATCAAGCAGGTAGTTCACCAATGGTACTTAGATGAGGGCACATGCAGGCTGTTGTCTAGCCTCTCCCCCTCCCCCATCCACTTCTTAAATATTCCAGAAAGGGTCTATGACCCTTTGGGAGAAGAATGCCTCTTCAAGTCACCATGGATGCTTATGGCAGGCAGCCCTGGCCTAATGAGACTTTGCTTCTGCTGTAGCACTAAATGCACAAGGAGCCAGTGCTATGCAGCTCACTTGGGCTACACACCTATTTTTCCTCTTCTGCAGTTAAAGGCCCATTCTGACAGTGAGCTCAAGAAAGTGTACACAGCCACAGTGAGCCTGACCTTGACTTCTTGCCTTTGCCCCCAACAAGACTTTGTTTTGTATTTTCTGTTACCTTTCAAGAGGACTTTCTCAGACACTCTGCCAGGTTCTGTTTACAAGACCTGGGTGGTGACATTTAATGTACCTTCTCTGTATGATCTGCTGTGGCAAGTCTCTGTTGGTTTGGGGTGAAGATAGCAGCAGGAGTGAAGGCAAGGAGAAGGAAGGCAAAAGGAAGGAAACATAGCTAGCAGCACTGAGCAGGCACGTTATGCTCATCTCCAGCAAGCCTAATAAGTCAATCCCTTCCACATCCATTTTTTTTTGGGGGGGACCTTAAGTATATCAAAGACGTCACACTCTATACTTAGGGTAAAGAGGTGGTGTTATGGTTTCCATCTTTAGCTCATAGTTAACAGTTTATCTTGATAAATGCTTGAACTGAGACAAACTCAAGGCAGTACGACAGAGAGCACTCTACCCTAGGCCTGGGGGGAAACATTCATGGAGGACTTCCTAGAGAATGTGACACCTTGGCTGAGTCTTAGAGGAGTAAAGGGAATGGAGAAGAAAGGGGTAGGCATTTCAGATATAGACAAGAGCTTGGGAAAACAAGAAGGTGCTGATGGGCTGTGTATAGACCATCAGTCGATGGAGTGAAACAAGGGCAGAGGGAGCCCTGCATGGACACAGTTCACAGGCAAGGTTGGTGCTTATAGGGTGTGAACTAAATGCTGCTGGCAGCTTATATTCTTCAATCCACTGTAACAGTCACAGCCACCACTATGACACACCTTCTCGATGCCACACAGTATACCAAGAAATTTCTCTTGAATCATTCGACAGGCCCAAAAGGCAATTTTATTATTTGTGTTAACAGCTGAGCAACCTCACATTAGCCAACACCATGTGAGATACCCATGTTTTCACAGACATGCTTGACTTTGAGAAGGTTGTCCCTTTCAGTGTATCATGCTGCTGAATTAGACTATCACTAAATTAGTGTGACACCCATGGACATATGTTGATAGAATTGCACGCTTTGTCTTTGTTCTCTGAGACTGAAACCGAGGGAGTGATCCTTCAAGTGTGCTCTCTATGTGCAGAGGATACAAATGGGCAGCCCAGAGCTGACCTCGGCTTGCAGGCTTGCTCTGCTTCACTAGGATAGACTGGTGTTTAAACACATGGGAATTTTTTTTTCTGAAAATTTTTGGATTTTCGGCAACATTGATAACAAAGGTCAATATCCTTTCTAGGATAGGGTGCCTTTGTGAAAGACCACGCCAGTTAATGAAAACCTCTCCTCCTGCCACCGCCTGTGCTTCCCCATGTATTCTTAACGTTGAAATAAATTGGTTACTGCTTTGTACCGTATGTCTATTGCCATTCTTCTTACAGCAGTAATAAAAGGAGCATGAACTTATACATAAAAAATTGGATATTTTAAGAAAAAAATAGGCATAGACTTTTTCTCCCCAAATATTATTCTAAACAAATGGAGAAAAATCCTATCCTGAGGCACCAAAATAAAACCAGCCATGACTGTACACAGAAAAGATGGTCTTTGAAAAACATAATGGCCTGAGGAAATGGCAGTGTTTTCTTTTGAATGGGAAATAAATATGTGAGACACTGGGAAATGCAGCTCTGTATTGAGTTGGGGGCGGGGATGTTTTGCGTCAAAACCTTCTCACAGACTACACATTTCCAAGAGTCCCTTTGAATGCAGCAGAAACGGTGTGTCCAGAGAACAAACATTTGAGAAGGTTCGTGGAACCGTGTGAGGTATGTGGATGAGACATTCAGCAGTCACTGGAGCCACTTTCTATTGCAGCAAATGAGAAAGCAGGTATGGTGGCAGCTCACTGTGGTATGATGAACACTTTGGAGGTGTCGAAGAACTTTTGGATGGGGGTTCATGAAAAGAAAAACATGAGGAATGGCAGTCTTGTGTGATGTGGGGAAGTCTCAGATCATTTGAAAACTGAGTATATACTGGTCAAAATCAGTGTTGCCAGATGTTGGTGGGGTTGTCAAGTCAAGGACCAAAGATGGGACTATTTCATAGGAGCGCTATGCCTGAGCCCCTTAATTTTCTCATTCATTATAAATGGCTTTGGGCAAAGAACTAAAATGGCACAAGTCACAGGTTCAGTAATGAATCCCACAAATTAGCTATTCTTCTATATCTTCAAGCAAATTCAGGTCAGTGCTTAATGAATTTGATGGCTTGCTTGTGCTGTTCAGTGAAGGCAAATTTTTTGTATGATTGGTTTTTTTTTGTTTTTTTGTTTTTTTTTTGTTTTTTTTGTTTTTTAATCGTTCCTGTCATCAATGGGACTAGTCCCATCTCTACTCAGCCCTGAAGATTTCCTCAAGTCTGAGTTTCTTGCTGGCTTTACAAATCATCTGTACTTGAACACTTTTCAACAGGGACATTCCTTGACTTACAAAGAGGTTGTAGCCTGGTTAATCTATTACATGTTAAAAATACCATAAGACAAATACGTTTCACATACTGAATGTACCAAATATTCTAGCTTAGCCAGCAGTCTAATGTATAGTATCAACTGTTTCCTCCATAGTAGGTTAGTTGAGCAGAGGTTTACCCACCTGCTGATGCCCAGCATCATGACAGTATTTAATGCAAATTTTGTCCCAGGAAAGGATCAAAATTCACATGCAAAGTACAAAAGTTTGGGGTTTAGCTGAGTGCAGTACCAGACTACCATGCAAAATACCCTAGATTTAATCCTTAACACCATAACAAAAATCAAAGTATAGTTTCTACCAAATGTATATTGCTGCTATACCATCATAGAGTTATAAATTGCAAGACAAGACACCATTACATCAGAACCTATATTTGCCTATATTATGATTTGCTCCTCTCAGACCTGACAAAGCTTGGGGAAGTCACTTATTGAGGAATAACAATCCATTTTCTAGATAAGAATTATAGCCTAAAATTCATCCTCTAAGACAATGTTGTTCAAAACTAGATTCCAAAAGTTCTTTGATTTCAAGTTTTATGCAGATAAACTAGCATCATTTAGCTCACTTTTATTAATTAGTTACTGATGGTATTGAAGACTAAATACAACTCTGAAAGCCAGGACTGTATGAACATCTTGGTGGAAGGGAAGGGCAGCCTACACTTATGCACTGGTGGTGATTCCAGTCACAATGTGACGACACTAGTCTTAGGAGCAGTTCTATTTAAAAAGAATCAGAAAAACAAAATGAAACAAAAACCAACTCTTTCATGTTGCTTTAAATAATGTAAGGCTACATATTTAGCAGATGTACAACTTGGTCTTCATGTGAGCCCCCTAACAAGTGGTACAGGGTCTGTCTCTGACTCTGTTGCCTGCCTGTGGATCCTGTTCCCCTAACTAGGTGATCTGTCTGGCCTCAGTGGGAGAGGATGTTCCTGGTTGTGCAGTGACTTGATGTGCCAGAGTGGGTTGGTACCCAGGAGAGGCCTCCCCTTTCTGGGAGGAAAAGGAAGGATTGAGGGAGGGGCTTGTTAGAGGTGGGGGGCTGTTAGAGGTAGGGGACTGTGAAGATGGGGGCTATGATCAGGATGTAAAGTGGATAAATAAATAAATGGAGAAAAAGACGGGCAGTGGTGGCACACGCCTTTAATCCCAGCACTTGGGAGGCAGAGGCAGGCGGATTTCTGAGTTCGAGGCCAGCCTGGTCTACAGAGTGAAGGACAGCCAGGGCTACACAGAGAAACCCTGTCCCGAAAGAGCAATAAATAAATAAATAAATAAATAAATAAATAAATAAATGGAGAAAAAAAGAATGTAAGGCTGTATACATCATAGTGAAAGTCAGTTAGCCCAAAGGACACTGTCATACAGTAGAAAAGACATTAGGCCAAAGCAGTGATGAATTATGAAAAAATAGTGATAGTTATACAATTTTCCATTTCAAATAGCTTAAAATTATCAATATATAACAGTAAATGCATCATGTATGTTTATGTTATTGCTATAGTTTGAATATGGTTTGTGTGCGACCAATGGCTCATAGGTTGGGAGTTTGGCCTGGTGCTGTTGGGAAGTGGTGGGAATTTTAAGAGGTAGATCTTGTAGGTCATAGGTCACTGGGGTAAGTAAGCTTTTGGCAGCTGTCATGAGGGAGATGTTATGAAAGGACCAAGTTTGACCCCTTTGTCCTCTCTGTTCTTATTTGAAATGAGGTCACTTTTTCATTCAGACATGGATTCCTGTCATGCTGTACTGTCACAAACTGGCCTCACAGAGGCCAGGTCAAGCTCACTGTTCCCTCTACCTCCCTCCACTCCATGTTCCCACTAATCTTGGGCTCTACACCTTCAAAACTCTAAGCTAAATAAGTAGCCAGTGTCAGATATGTTATTATAGCAATGGCAAGCTAATAAAGCTACATATATACACCATAACTGGAAAAAAATAGTGTTTCTCTTTTGGAAGTTAGCTATTACACTTGTCTTACTTTGTTCAAGGGGACTACCTCCCCTGACTCTTTCTTCACACACTTCTCTCCAAATCCCTAGAACAAAAGCGGAGCCTTAGTAGATGGTTGATCAATGTTGGCTAAGTTGAACTAAATTGCCTCTTGACTATCATTAGTA